GCCTTTTCGAAGTCAAGGAAACAAAGTCTAAGATGTTTTTCAGGACACTCTAAGTTGCACAACCAAGTGTGGATCATGTCTAAAAGACAATAAGTTGTGGATGTTCCTTTCAAGCATCCAAACTGCTTGGGGTCGATCTTGTCTTTCATATCGGTTATCATCCACCCGACCACGAAATCTTAAAGAACCTTAGCCAGGCAGGGTGTCAGTGAGATGGGTCTGGTGTCACCTTCACAGGTAGGAGGTTGTGATTTTGGAACTGGTATGATGTCCGAGTCTTTCCATATTGCAGGCACGATTCCAGATGAAAGTGATTTGTTGAAAATAGTTGCAACAGTTTCGGCTAATTCATGGGCAAACTCTTTCAGGATACGACAGGGGACGTTACCTGGGCCGTGAGCTTTAAAAGGTTTAATTTCTAAGAGCTTTTTAGATACTTCATGTGGTTGAACTGTTGGAGCAGGTTCTTTGGCCGGAAGAAATGCCGGGAGGTGTCGCTAAATGAAGTGGTGGAATGTCACTATTCACCGATGCATAGAACACATTTAAAGCTCTAACTAATTCTGATTGATCCAGAGTTCTTCCATCATGTTCAAGCGAGAAGGAGTTCTTTCCAGATTTTCCTGCCATTTTATTTACGATTTTCCACCACATACGGCAGTCATCCTTCTTTAAATGTTGTACCTTTGTTTTGTAGTACGATATTTTCCACGCATTGATTTCATGTTGGACCTTATATTTCAATGATTTCCACAAGATTGTATTATGACCATGAAACACCTTTTGTCGATATTTGATAAGCTGTTTTATTGCAGGTTTTTATCCATGGTTTATCGGTGTGATGACGTGTTGACGTCTGTTGTGGGAAGATTCGGTCAATACTTTCTGTTAACTGGTTTTTAAACGAGATTGCCAAGCTATCAACAGTAGGGTTGGGTTCAAGGTCACAAAACCAAGGTCACAAAAAAAGTTGCTTGTGATGTTACTCTGAGTGTATATCCACACAGGGCAGGCTTCAAAATGGGAATGGCCTGGTCACAATGGGAATCGAACCTACGGCCTTCGGAATACTAGCCCAATGCTCTGCCAACTGAGCTACGCGGTCAGGTCGGTTCGAGTATGTAATATTTTGGAGCTGAGCCTAGTTCCTTCGATATCAGTGTAATCTAATAATCATGATATTTGCTGTGTTGGTGTATTGATGCTTGTGATGTTACTCACCTGAGTACATTACACTGACACAGCAAATATTGTGATTTTTAGATTACACTGATATCGAAGGAACTAGATTACCGCGTAGCTCAGTTGGCAGACCATGGGCTAGTATTCCAAAGGTCGCAGGTTCGATTCCCACCGTGGCCAGGCATATTTTTCAAGCCTGCCCAGTGTGGATATACAGTTAGAGTAACATCACAAGCATCACATCATTTATTAGTGTTTTTGTAACAAAATAAAAACTCTTGTGCTTGCCTCTTGCCGGCCTTGATTTCAAAAGACCAAAATTTCAAACTCATCTGTAGATATTGTCAAATCACTACGGTCATGAAGCTCACAGTCATTTCTAATATAGAAATCCACACCTCCAGCTTCTGTATTAGTATGGTTGAGAAATGAAATGATATCCGGTAATGCTGATATTGGACACTAGAGACTTTCCTACCCTTATTTTTGTCTCAGTTAGACCAATAATGTTAAAATGATAATTAAGATCTGATAACATAGTTGTCAGATGATCACGATTTGCTGATAGGCTTCTTATATTGCTATGTAGAGCAGAGAATGAATCTGATTCAGAAATAATCTGCTCAATGTTTTGATTGTCATTAAAGCTATTAGTCGTAAAACAATTAAAATCGACATTACTTATGAAGTTCCTATCAACATCAGATTCCCTCGGTGTTGTACATTTGATTTTTGTGGAGGTAGCCAATCTTTAAATGGAGCTAGACTATGCCACAATCTTGTACCCAGAGCCTGTCTTATGCACATTCACAGAGCATAACAAGGGTCACAGGGTATGAGAATGGGTTGTGCCACATTTGCCGCAACTGCAGATCAAAATTTAGTCTCTGAACAAGAACGACATGCCAAGTGTGCCAATGTCATGTTTATGTATGTACTCTGGGTATTTTTAGTCTTAACAAGTGCATGTGTTATTTATTTAATACAGAATATAGAGGTGCACAATGGCATCAGCAGATGGTCCAGCTTTCCAAAAGCTGCGATCAATTGTCCATCATGGTTGGCCGAAAAACCGATCCAATCTGGACCGGTGTCTTTATCCATTCTACGACATGCGTGATGAACTGACCATCCTGGAGGAACTGATATTCAAGGGACAACAATTGTTTGTGCCAGCTTCTCTTCGAAAAGAGCTTATTGTAGTGATACACGCATCACATATTGGTATTGATGCATGCATCCGTCGAGTATGGGACAAGGCTGTACTGGTCCAGAATGACAACAGAGTTGAAGGAGTACATCTCGAAGTGTGATGTTTGTTTGGCACACCACAAGCTCGCCAAGCAAGGAACCACTACTCCAACATGAAGTCCTAGCCAGGCTGTGGTCGAAAGTTGGAGCCAACCTGTGTGAACTGAACGAAAACACATGTGAGTCATGGTTGACTACTACAGCAACTTTATCGAGGTAGCTCGCATAACTTCGACCATCTCAAGAAGCATCATCAAGGAGCTGAAAGCAATGTTTGCCAGATACAGAGTGCCTGACGTCCTAGTGATGGACAATGGGCCCCAATTCATGTCCGCTGAATTTGCGGTGTTTGCAAAAGCTTTGGGATTTGATCACATTACATTGTCCCTGCACCACCCCCAGTTGAACGGGAAGGCCAAGAATGCAGTGAAGACTGTGAAACAGCTGTTTGAGAAATGCAAGGAGTCTGGCCAATCGGAATTTCTGGCTCTACTCGATTGGCGAAACACACCTACGGAAAGAGTTGGCACCAGCCCTGACCAGCAGGTTATGAGACAGTGTTGCAAAACACTGGTACCTATCGCAGGTACCCTTCTGAAACCTCAGAGCAATCCTGAAGAAGATGCTCAGGCGATAATTGGAATGAAGAAAAGACAATAATACTATTATGATAGGAATACGAAAGAGAGAAATCCAATTGCCACAGGCGAAATTGTACACATGAAGCTGCCTGGTCAAGAACGATGGAGTGCTGGCACATGTACTCAGCAAGTGGATTCCAGGAGTTATATAGTCAAGGTTGGTGACAACAAGTACAGGCGCAACCACAAACAGATTGCACAAAGCCAGGAGCCACCCATTTTGGAGATGCCTGAAGTAGTTGAGGAAACGAACGCACCCAACCATCCCAGACAAGCAACTCCAGCAGCCGAGGTGAACAACAAGAAAACCCCAGACGGTGCATCAACCCACTCGCCAGGTCTTCGAAGGTCTGCCCGACAACACAAGACACCCTCCTCGCAGAGTGACTATGTTACAACATAGACAATCATACTATAACTTTATTATTATCCATTATATATATATACTGTTTAAGTGTCTCGTATTAACCTAATAATTACGACAATCTGTCAATCACAAGGAAACTGGATCTTGGACAATATAGTCAGAGACATGCGATAGCGCACAATGCTAGACATAAAAACACACATGATATATGAATAATATACTGCATAAAACGTTTAAATTTGTGACTACAAGTTAGTTTAACTAAACATTAGAAAGATTACCAGAATGATTATTGTCGATTTCAAGTCACTTTTCAACATGCAGTCCCCATCTTCGTTGTGAACTTGCCAATTACTTTCCAAGTTTGGAAATTGGCACGAACTTCACAACAAAGTTTGCAAGTAACAAATTTTGCATTTGTGCTCAAATCTTCATACTCTAATAATAATAATAACCAATTCAATGAAATAGGTAGACCATTGAACCAAGAACTTTCCATTGAATTGTTAATTTCAACTTGATTGTTATTTTCAACCATGAACAATTGTGTACAATAGTTCAAATATCGAAATGTTCTTGCAAATTTTGTTGCAAAGATCACACCCAATTTTTTAACTTGGAAACGTCCTACCAGAAGCGATTCGAGTTTGTCTAGTTGTTAGTCGAGCAGATCTGGAGTCAGTTCCAGCGAGAATATCTGCAAACTTTCAGGTACTTACAATTATCATTTGTAATATGTGTTTTATTGTTTATTTCGTATTCAATTATTATCAAACATATCTAATCAAACCCAATCATTTTAGAATGTATTTTTAAATATATTACAAAATACTCTATTACATTGACATGCACATAAAACCCGATATTTTTAAAAATTCAAAATCAATATTTCTACTTGCTGTATTCAAACGAAACTTTCTACACAAATGCACTTGAATACAAAGAGTGATTTACTCATATATATAGGCTTTGAGAAAATAACGAAAAGTTTACAAGATATTAAAAAAAATTCTCAAAATGAAATTCAGAATGTTGGGCCATGGGTGAGTAAATGTACCGGGTGTCCCAAAAAAAACTTGCGCTGTTTGATTTAATGTAACATAAAAACTATAAAAGCTATTGCACTCAAATAAGTTATATTGTATTCAGAAAGGGCTAACTTAGATTTTGATATATCATCGCCAGAAATTTAAGACATTTGAGCCCGCGATGCTCAGCGGATGTCAATTGAAGCAAAATAAAATTTTACTTAAATTTACATTAGGAATACGAAAACTATCGAAAATAACTCTCTCTCTTTAAAGTTATTCATTTGTAGTCAGATTCATTATATTGACATTGAATGGAAAAGAATGACACAAAAAAAGGAATGATAAGCCAACACAAAGCCGTTCCACTCAGAGAACTGATTTTGACAACTATTTTGTGTATAAAGCACCCTACAAATTGCTGTGAAATCACATAAACACAGATTATGATGTGCGATTGTTCAAACCAAGGAATACATTTTGAATTTGTGCTCACGTCATAATAAATTTCGAACTTACCTCTACCCAGAAGAAAAAATCTGAATGATAAACAACCTGAGCAAATGTTTCCAAAATCCAGTTCAAAATATGAATTCTTAGCCTTTGGTACAAGCCAAATATCCCCATATTACTAACTGTGATGCTGCGTACGAAATTCCTATACAAATTGTTTTTTCTCGAGCAAAAATCGCTGAATGTAGATGAGTTATATATAAAAATACTCCTTGGAACATACACTCTCTCTGTACTGCAGTTGTTGTTAGAAACAGTATCTTTGTGGCCGTAAATGTATGGAAGAAACTGGGGAGACTCTTTTACGAGTTAGCGGACGTGTGAAAATTAAGTATGTAAATACAATTCCACAACTTGTAGGATGGCAAAAAATCATGAAAAAGTGTATGATTTCCCCAAATTTCAATACTGTTTTTTAATAAAACATGCAGACGATGGTAGCGGGGGGAAGGCATTGCTTTTACGATAAAAGCTAAAAACATGTGCCTTAAAAGCTGGTATGACTTTACTAGAAAGAAAGGTCCCGAAGGCAAATTAAAATTAGTTGATATTATCAATCGTTTCTTGGCAGAACAGCATGTAACCCCCCTAAAGGAAAACTGTATCAGGATTGAAGAGCATGGCAAAGCTTTGTCTTCCATTGCAAAAAGTAATTTGTCTGGGAAACGTGGGCAACAGTATACATCTTGCTCAAACGTTTTCAGGCGCATTAATATCATGAAGAGTGAATTAATTCAAAGCGAGGATTTAAATGAGACCAGGAAAACAATGGAGCAACTTCAAGCCCAGACAACACAACATTCTGAGCAAAATAGGTACATAAATGAACGATGTGAGCAGTTATCAGAAAGTTTGAAAACTCTTAATGATCAGAAATGCAAATCGGAAGAAGAGTTGGAAGAGCAAGTGAACAGAAATGCAGAACTTGAGCAAAGTAACAAACAATTACTTGAGCTGGTGACAAAGCTGGAGGAATTACATGGAAAGGATTTAGATAAGAGGAGGAAAACATTTACAGATGTTCGACAAGGACAGCAGCACCGGATTATGATGGAATTAAAGACGAAAGCAGGGGGGTCTTTATGGTTCGCTAAAGCATTTGGTTTGGACGTACCCTCTATCAAATTTGAAGATGAGGCGGTTTGCACCATGAAGTAAAATATAGCTCAGCTAGAGAGGGCACTTCCAAATCTTACCAAGAGCTTAGCGAAGACAAAAAGGATATTATAAAGCAGGTTCACCCTTTGTCTCCCTGCCGACTACGCATTAGGCAAGTGCCTCACACACATAGCTCAGATCCGTCAATAGTCTATCATCCTATCCCTGAGTTGTTGCATCATTTAAATTACGCTCATGCAGTCTCTGATTTTATACTAATGTATTTATTGTTTTTGTTGTGGTACGTTAAATGATAGATTGCACATGCGTAATTGATTAAAGCGTAAAAGTGTGCATGTGCAACAAGCTTTTACGTCCCACAAGCAAAGAAGCAAATGTTTTGGCTTAAAATTCGCTGATTGCAAGTAGGGCATGTTTGTGAACAATTAATTCACTCTGATGACTGTGTCTCAATTTAGAGTTGACCCCTCACACTTGATGATGCTTCGAGTCACTGGTAATAATGGGTAATATTAAATTAACTTATCTGGAAACACTATATCTTTGGTATTAGTGTGTTTCCACATGAACTGTTAAAATGAGGTTTAATTAAATTAACAGTACTTAACTCAAATTTATATTGGCAGATGTTTTGCTGAACAACTTAATATTAGGAGCACTGTCTTTAGATGCAAAAGACAACCACAATAAGCCTCCTAATCAGAGAATGACTGGGCATATAGATGCTCTGTTATGTGCAATAAGAAGTTGTGGCGTGTCTTTCTCAATATGGGAGAAAATGAATGCTAATGGTAGTGGAACATGATTTTACAAGCCTAATGGGTCCAGACAAGAGATTGCCTCTTGAAAAGCTTGCAAAAAAGTTGGAAATCATGCTGTTGATCAAAATATCCAACATAGTGTTATTAAATGGAATGTAAGTTTAAGGCTTTTAATTTAATTAATTATAATAACTTTTAATACTGTAGCACTTCACACTGAATATTGTCAGACAAATTGTATTGTTTCCCGTTTAGCCAATTATCTGGAATTTTAAAAAGCCTTTTAGACTTGTTTCATTATATTTTATTTAGGACTTCAATGCTTCTTTGCCACATACTAACATAAAAAAGCACATCGATGCAGCTAAAGTCGATGAATACTTTCAGAAGGTATGGTATTAAATATTCTAAATAATATGTTAAATTAAATTATTTACATTGCATGACCTCTTTAGTACATATAGTTTTAGTTTTTCCAAAGGCATTCTCAGAGCCTGGCAAAGTTTGCCCTTGCACAACTCAAATGTCAATGGAGACAAGGAGAGAGCTGGTTTGACCTTTTTGGGAACGTCAACAGCCTTTCCTTCTCCATTTTCATTCAAAAAATACCACAAGTTATTGGGCAGGAATTTAAGTTGAGAAACATTCTTCTCAAGCATAAGGTGACCACGATGATTTAACTCTTTTCCTCTCTGATGAACAACAAATTGCCACACATCCAAGTGCATTAGCAAGTAAATTGGAGAAAAGGAAGCACTTTTCAGGCACAAAACAACTCCAACCACAATGTCACAGCATGACTCCAACAACACATCATCAGATGGGGTCAATGGTCTTGAATAGCTCCTATACAATATATAATTTATAAAAAGGCATGAAACTTGCACCATTTCACTTTAAAAATTATCAGATAGGAGGGTTTAATACTTGTGCTTTTTTCATATAACATTAAATACTTCAATGAACACACTGCATATGAGTAAAACTTCTCCAATTTATAGCAATGATAAATTTTATCAATAGCATATGCCCATGAAATTTACCTACCTGTGTAATAGTGAATTGAGATTTTCACTTGGCTCCCAGGAGCTGCTCTCAATTGGTCAACCCCACCATTGAACAAGGTACTCTTCATTCTTTATTAAAAGGTTATAAAGTAGTTATTACAAATAGACAATATCCCATCAATTTTTACTTCAAACTTGCAACTAACAATTAATGAAGCCGAAGGTTGAATTTTAAAGTCATGAAATAATCAAATAAAAGGAAGCCATACATACCCTTTATTCCTTCTCTCAATCAAGCGTTCGACTTTGTACAGCTTTCCTTTTTTACTTCTTTTAGTTTTGTTGTATAATACAACAGATTAAAACAAATTCAATTGTTGATAATCAATTGACTCTCTCACACGTTTGGCCGCCATGTTGCTCTTGCATAATATTATATGTGGCGGACTGCTCGGATGGTGTATTTTACGGAATGGCAGAATTGACGGAATGGTATTTCTGCGTTTGTGGTTATTCCTGCTTTTGTGGAAATTTTTAGGCATTTCTGCATCCACTGAAATTTGAAGCTCAAAAATTTTTTCAAACACGATGAGAATAAACACGATTTT